TTTTTTTTTTTTTTTTCTGTTTGCATGCGATGATGCAACTAACGCTGTGTTGTCTTATGTGAACGTAAGGTTTCAAGTTTCAACTCTCTCAAACCAAGAAAGACAAAGGTAAATAGATAATAAAAATTTAACCGCCAACAGACACTAGGCAAACCAGAGAAATTGTATTACAAAGTAACAGAAAACGACGACGTACTGATGGTGTCCCGATTAAAATAATAGAAATTAGAAATAAAAAATTGCCCGCGTAACGTGGGCCGTTTTCGCCCTCACAAATATTCGTCTGTATTCCTTTCATCTTTCTCTCTCGAGGACGCACAAACAGTTCCTTTTCTGAAAATCGCCCTAACCCTCCACAGATCAAAACCATCTCTGAGATTCAGCTCCCCTTTCTTTCTCTCTCTATATATGTAGATCACGAATCCTCATTCTAGAGAGAGAAACTCTCCGAACAAAAATCCGACGTCTACGATGGGAGAGAGCTCAATTGGCGCCACGGTCCCCTTCGTTAAAGCCGAAGCCTTGCTGGAATCCTCCGCCGGACCTCCGGTTCCGCCGCCGCTGCAACCGGCGGAGGAGGATGTGGCCATGGAAGACGCCGACAAGGACATACTCTGTCCGATATGTATGCAGATTATAAAGGACGCATTCCTTACTGCTTGTGGCCATAGCTTTTGTTACGTGTGCCTCGTTACTCACCTTCGCAACAAGAGCGATTGTCCTTCTTGCGGTCATTACCTCACTACCGCCCATATCTTCCCCAATTTCTTGCTCGACAAGGTCCCTTTTTCTCTCTACTGATTCTCTCTTTTTTCATAACGTTAGCTGATCATTTTTCATTCAGATTGGTTTGGTTCTGTTCTATGTAGATCCTCTTGATTAATGTTCTGTTTGGTTGCTGAGAAAGCGAGAAAAGAAAAAAGGAAAGAAATTGATGTCTTCAGAAGTTGTCTTATGGAATGTAGTGTTAGTTGATATTAATAAGCAAATCGCATAAATTTTAAAAAAAATGTAAATCGCATGTTTTTTTTTTTTTTCCTAAAAAAAAAAACAGAGTTTTTTTTTTTTTTTTTACTAAAAGAAAGAACAGAGATCTTGTTCTATTTATTAGTTCATTAGGTGTTTTTTTTCCGTACTATGGAGACCAAATTGGTCTTGTTTATTTGACTGATTCCAGTTTAAAATTTGAGTTTTTCGCATCTAACTTTTTTGCTATAGTGAAAAGTTCTCACGTAAATTCATATCTTAACTTGAATTAAAAACTCAAATCAACGAACTAAACGGGTCCACAATATGAAAAAGAGTAACAAGTGAAGTAACTCTTACTAAAATTCTGCTGTGAACTTCTCAGTGTCTGAAGAAAACTTCGGCTTCTCGAGTAGCAAAGACTGCATCTCCGTTTGAACATTTTCGTCAGGCATTACAGCAGGTCAGTCATTATATTGGAAATTTTTTGGCCAAATAATTTCTCATCCAAAATGACTCCGGATTTATGAGCTCCCTATAATTTTAATGCGATATTTCAAGGATAAATCTTTCTTCAGCGTTACTTAGTCAATTAACATTACTCTTTTTTTTTTTTTTTTTTTTTTTTTTTTTTTGTGTGTGCCATTGCTTCAATATTGATCTCATATCTTGGACTGATTACCGCTTCCGATTCGTAGTCAGGGTCTTGAGGTGTCAATTAAAGAGCTAGATGATCTACTTTCTCTCCTGTCAGAGAAAAAGAGGAAAATGGAGCAAGAAGAAGCCGAGACAAACATGCAAATCATGCTCAGTTTCTTACATTGCCTGAGGAAGCAAAAGCTAGAAGAGCTCACTGAGGTCCTCAAACTTGATTTTGTCTCTCTGATGTGATCATGTCTTGTATTTGAAGTGGCATAAATTCACATTCCTTTTATAAAGTTCAAATTCCCTCACTAAGAGGGGAGTTCTTCTACTGACACTTTTGTTGGTTCAGTCAAGGATGACTATTCAATGACACACACACACACACACACACTGTTCTGGTTTAGCTTCTACTGTTCTAACTTTGTTGAGTGAAGGTGATTTTCTGCTTTCTTTGTAGATACAATCCGATCTTCAGTACATTAAGGAGGACATAAACGCTGTAGAGAGGCGAAGAATAGATCTGTATAGGGAAAAGGAGAGATTCTCGGGAAGAATGAGAATGCTCGTCGATGATCCTATTGCGGAAAAGGCGTCACCTTCTTTTGATAAACATGCTAATGGCATCAACTACAGTGTCTATTCTGCACATACCCAAATGGGTTCTGGCAGTTCACAGAACAAGAAGCCTGATGCAAATGCTCTAGCAAACTTCCAGGCACTCCAAAGGAAGGGTGCTTATGGTGCGGAAGGTTTGCAGTCTTGTACTCCGTCAGGACTAGCTCTAGAAAGGAAAAGACAGGTCTATTCACAGGTTAGCTGATCTAAGGATATCTAGTCAGCAGCTATAACGTTTCACCTTTCCCAGCACCAAAAAAGCGAGAACCAACTAGTTTTTTATGCACATGCAAGATATTCACACTATCGCATTCTTCAAATTTTCTGTTTTATTGTTTTCTTTCTTTTTGTATCTATTTATTATGCTCATCGACATCTCTTGCATGTTGCAACAGTTCAACGACTTACAAGAGTGTTACTTGCAAAAGCGACGAAATTGGATTAAACACTTACATAAAGGGGATGAACGGAGCACAAAAAATTCTAGCAAAGAAGATTATAGTCCAGGTCTTGAAGATTTTCAGTCCGTGTTAAATACCTTTACACGATATAGGTATAGTTTTCTGCAGTAAAGAAGGTTATATCCTTTATTTATTTATTTCCAGTTCCTTTAAGAAAATATCACCTGCTATGCTAAATAATATCTTTTGGTTGCTTGAACCAGTCGATTGAGAGTCATTGCCGAATTGAGGCATGGTGACATTTTTCAATCTGCTAACATTTTGTCCAGGTGAGTTAAAACGAGTTTCTTGCGTCTCTCTCTCTCAGAAGCAGCTTTCATGTCAGGATATCTTTCAGACTTATTTGTCTGAAATTTGTTCTAAAGTTGTAAAACTCGTAAGCACTGCAAATGTGCAATGCGCACTACAACAATTGGATGTTGAACTTCCTCTTTTCATAAACTTCCCAACTCCTCCTCCAACTTCTCATAGTTTTTCACAATATTTGAATATGTTGGCATTTAAGTCCCTGTTGAATTTGCTGCAGTATTGAATTTGATCGTGATGATGAATTCTTTGCCACTGCTGGAGTTTCACGGCGCATCAAGGTTTTTGAATTTTCCTCGGTAAGCTAAGCCCTAGAGTTTGTTTTCTGGGAATGAGCATATAGAGTCCATATTTCTACTAAAAGAAGAAAAGCTATCTTCAGGAGTCCATATGAAGCACATGGCTTTTCGACTAACTACACGTTGTGGTTGTGATTGCTTTCAGGTCGTTAATGAACCAGCCGATATCCACTGCCCTATTGTTGAGATGCCAACACGATGTAAACTTAGTTGTTTGAGCTGGAATAAGTACACAAAAAGCCATATCGCAAGTAGTGACTATGAAGGGATAGTAACTGTTTGGGATGTAACTACGCGTCAGGTATTACTTCCTTTATATTTTTCACTATATACATGCGTATAATACTCATCTAAGCTAAAGTTTGCACACAAATATGCTGTCATTTTTTTTTTTAACAGGAGTCTTTTTGTTTGCAGAGTGTGATGGAATATGAGGAGCATGAAAAGCGAGCTTGGAGTGTTGATTTTTCACGTAGTGAACCTGCAATGCTTGTATCTGGCAGTGATGACTGTAAGGTAACAAGATCCAAGTAGATTCTACCTTATAAATTCGTAAGTTCTAAGCTCTATCTTGATAGGCCATATGCCTTTGTAATCCTAGTTAGAATATGAGAAAGTATTTCACTTTTCTGGATTGATCTACATCTTGGAAAATTTAAAGCTCCACAAGCACATTTCACGCCTAATTTGAGACAAACTTCAGTAGCAGGAGTATTTTCGTACATTTTATTGAAATATTGCTTTTGCATGTATTTGATTGGTTTTATATTGAGAGCAGTCTCAGTTAACATTTGACATGTTGAACAGGTCAAAATTTGGTGTACAAGGCAAGAAGCAAGCGTTCTTAACATCGACATGAAAGCAAACATTTGTTCTGTCAAATATAATCCTGGATCCAGCATATACGTGGCAGTATGTCTCTGTTAAGCCCTACATTCTAGTTTTCTCCAACTACGAATTTGACAATGTTGATACTTTATCCAAAAGAATTAAATGTTGATGACTTGTTTCTCAAAATTGGCATCATTCTGTTTCACCCAAATTATGCTACATTGATCATGTTCTCATAGTCTAAAGTTGATTATTCAATCTTTTAATCGAATGCATGGTAAAGATTAGAACAAAGATAAAGAATCAATATATTTTCGTATCAACTTAATACTCTATATAGTGACGATAAGATTTTGGCAGGTTGGTTCTGCAGATCGTCACATTCATTACTATGACTTGAGAAATATCAGCCAACCCTTGCACGTATTTAGCGGACATATGAAAGCTGTTTCGTACGTGAAATTCCTGTCTAACACTGAACTTGCTTCAGCATCTACTGACAGCACATTGCGCTTGTGGGATGTAAAGGATAATTTGCCTGTGAGTTGTGTCATTCATCCTCAGCGAATTGTCTGTTTTTTTATTCTCCTTTTCAAATCATTGACCAACTTAGAACTCATTCGCCACTCTATTGCTATGGCTGTCATTTTAACTCATCCTTTTCTTGCCTTCATCATTCCACTTGCAGCTTTGCACGTATCGAGGCCACACGAACGAAAAGAATTTCGTTGGCCTAACAGTAAATAGTGAATACATTTCTTGTGGCAGCGAGACAAATGAAGTATTTGTCTATCATAAGGTCAGAGAAACCAGAATTTGTTTAGCAAATGTCATAATATTTTGTAGTACAATAGTTTCTTTTATAATTCTAGTTCTAATGTTTGGTTGCAGGCAATCTCTAAGCCCATGGCATGTCATAAGTTTAGTTCTTCAGGGTCAAATGAGAATGAGGACGACGCAGGGTCATACTTCATTAGTGCTGTGTGTTGGAAGAGCGATAGCCCGACAATGTTAACCGCAAACAGCGGAGGAACAATTAAAGTCCTAGTACTTGCACCCTGACTAACTGAGTGATTATTCATTTAAAAAGTAGTGAAACATTAGATATCAACATTGTTGAATGTTGATTGCCTTAAGTCTTATGGAACTCCGAAGAAAATTAAATTAAAGAAGGGGATAAAATGGTAGTGTCTGCGTGGTCTTGACGGGTTGGGAATCTATTAGCCCATTTTTTTATTAGAACCCTTCAGAAAAATAAAAATAAATTTTGAAATTAAAAATTGTATAAGTGGCAATCATTTTCTTATCTCTCAATAATTAAGGAAAGACCTTTTTCATCTGAAAAAAAAAAATAAAGACCGATCCTTTTCTTCTCTTCCCACATAAACGTCTAAAAATACCTTCTTGGTTGGAATTGGAGTTTTGCATGCATCACATGACCAGTTGGGATTTATTTGGGGATTGTGCTAATATTACTTAAAAGTCATTAAGGCCTGCCGTTTAATTCATATGTTTAAATAATTTATTCTTAATTTTAATATTTAAAATTTAAATTTTTCATGAAAAAAAAATATTATAACAGAATTAAAATTATAAATTTAAACGCATGAAATAAATGAGAATTAAAAATCCTTGATTCCTTGAAGAAAGATTACTTAAAAAAGATAAGACACGTAAAACAGAGGACCAACTACCAATTAACACCTCTGCTCGTGAACTAAGGGCGTTCAATTTCAAGCAGCTGTTCACATTTTCTTTTTATGGTAATTTAAAAGGTGTTCACACGCAATTTTTTTATTTTTTATTTTTTTGGGGTGTTCACATGGAATTGGCCCTTCTCCATTATCAAGAGAAAAATAACTAAAGAAGTAACTTTTCTGGTAGGTGATAATGGAACTTTTTAGGTTTCATTCCCTTCGCTGATTCGAGTTTTCAATTCGAGTTGAGATGTGACATTTTTTTAGAGCTTTTCACTGTAACAGAAAAAGTTAGATGTGATATTTTTTGAGAAGTTTTAACTGTAGAAACCTAAAACTGAAAACTCGAATCGGTGAAATGAACGTGACCTTAGAATTCATTAGATGCCTAGACCTAACTCTCGCAACAGTTCCCAGTCGGCAGCAACCAATAGGCACTAATCCACGACGTTTTTATTTTATTTTATTTGATCATCAATCCACGGAGTTTTCTACTATATAAGACTATCTCTAATCCAATGTAAATATTTATACTTATTGTATATTTATCATAAAAAATATATGATATATATGTTATTTTTCATTTTTAATCTAATATATAATATTATTTAAAATGTTAAATCTATTTTTTTTAATAATTATTAGGCTTTAAAAGTTATAAAAACAAACTTTTATATTTAAAATAATTAAAAAATGTAAAAAGTTACATTGATTATATAAAAAAATAAACATTTCAACCAATAACAATTAAATGTCAAATTTCTCATATACATACTTGGTGGAAAATTTGCTACAAAGTATAACATATGAGAAATTTGACAAAACAAATAATATTGTATTAGAGAGTGTTTTTTACACTTAAATGCTAAATTTATAATTGACACATCAATTATAAAATTGTATTAGAAATGTTCTAATATCTGTACTAATACTAATAATAAGTGTTTTTTAAAACATTAAATTTAGTTGAAATCTCAAAAAAAAATTATCAATTTAAAATAGTATCCTACAATAGTTTTTTTTTTTTTTTTGGTATTTTACGCATTTACTCTTAAACTTGTAGGTTTTAACAATTTATCTTCTAAACTTTTAATTTTAATAATTTATTCTCTTAATTGTAAAATTGTTACGGTATGCTCAATTTTAATGATTATTGTGTTAAATTAGTATAAAAAAATATTCGATGAAAAATTCCAACATCTCAATTTAATATAACACAAATCTTTTTATCTCTTAACTTTTAATCTCTCGAATTTAAATTTAAACAAATTTAATAACATAAGGCACATTATAATAATTTTATAAATTTGAGAATTGATCGTTAAAATTAAAAGTTTAAGAATCTTGAACAATTATGCTAAAAACCCATATTTTTTTTTTCTTTTTTATATACCCAAAAAAATATATCTCACCAATCCACCGTAAGTCTCAAAATCGTTGTAGACTGTAGTAGAATAAAAAAGAAATTGAAAACTGCGCATCTTACAAAAGATCCTCGCTATATTCCTAGAGATTCTTATAAATGTATGTCTATATATAAGCGAGTAAATATAAGTTAAGATTCTGAGAATCCCACTTTGATACTTGCAGAACAAACAAAACAACTCCGCATATCCAAATTTCCCAATTTCAATTTATCTTTCCCTTTTCAAGTTTTTAATTTTTTTAATAAAAAATTTGGCGCGAAAAAATAGCTATGAAGGTCGAGAGTTCGGACGGCGAAACTGGCACAGTGATCAGCCTCCCGCCGGCGGTTTTTCCGACGGCGAAAGCTCCGGCGACCGGAGGGGAGAGCGAGAGAGAAGAGGAGGAGCTGTTTGTGCCGCCTCTGAACTTTGCCATGGTCGATAATGGCGTTTTTAGGTCTGGCTTCCCCAGTTTCGCCAATTTCAGCTTCTTGCAATCTCTAGGGATCCGATCCATCGTGTAGGTGCAATTCAATCTTCGCGGATTAAGCTTATCAAATTCTTGATTTTTCTCTCTCTCTCTTTCTCTCTCTCTCTCTCTCTCTCTCTCTCTCTCTCTCTCTCTCTGATCCCTTCCATGTCCCTCTGATAGATACTTGTGTCCGGAACCCTACCCGGAGGCGAACGTCGAGTTTCTGAAGGCGAATGGGATTGGGCTTTATCAGTTCGCGATCGAAGGAACTCAGGTACATTACTGTTTTGCCTTGATTTGCGATAATACTTGGAGAATATTGTGGTTGATCATTCATGAATTTGTGTTTATAGCGATGATTGATTGATGAGGAATAATTAGGGACATAATTCAAAAGGAAAGTAGTAAACTTTCTGAAACTTCAGATTAGAAAGACTGATTTTAATAGAAGTATTCCAATTTGAGACTAAAATCTTAGTTCAATTTGAGACTAAAATCTTAGTTTAAGTGAAGAGTCTCTGGTAAAGAAAATAAATTTTGGAAATAATTAGCATACATACAACTTGGTTATTTGTCTTATAGAGAGAACTCTGGGAAATTGCGTCAAATCTAATGTTTTTGCTTGTAAGTTAGATGCAAGAGGGATTTGCTTGGCATCAGGCGGGGTGATTTGCCTTCTAAATATTTTGGAGTCCTTATTTTTGAAGGTAAGTCAAATTGTGCACATCTTCGTCCAGTAGTAGATAAGGTGATCAGTAAGCTTACTTCTTGGAAGGGTGGTCTTCTTTCTATGGCTGGTAGAGTGGAGTTGGTTAAGACAGTGGCTACTTCTTCTCTTTTACATTCTTTTATGGTGTATTGTTGGCCAAAGTCTCTCTTGTTAGTTGTTGCTAGAGCTATGAGAAATTTCATTTGGTCCGGTTCGGTGGAAAATAAAAAAAATGATTTATGTCTCTTGGGATAAGGTTTGTAGACCTTTTGGTGAGGGGGGTTTGGGTATAAGAAATCTTTTAACTCTTAATAATGCTTGCTTGCACAAGTTGGCTTGGAATCTCATTTATGAGCGTGATGGTATTTTTCCTTTCTTAAGGGGTTGTTTTTTAAATGTTGATGGTGTTCCTAAATTTCGAATTACTTCTTCTATTTGGCCTGGCATCAAAAAGATAGTGTCGAAGCTTTCCTTGGAATCTAGGTGGTTGGTTGGTAAAAACTCAAAAGGTGAATTTTTGGAAAGATAATTGGCTTGGGTCTCCTTTAGTAGACTTGTTGAATGTTCCTTAACACATTAGAGCTCATCTTTCAGCTGTCGTATCAGATTTTTGGGATGGTTCTTCTTGGGTTATTTCTTCTTTTTTGGCTGATGGTTTTCCTCATATTATTCAAGCTATTAGTTGCACTTTGGTTGCTTGTGAAGATCGTCTCATTTGGACTAAGTCGTTGGGGGGTGGTTTGACTACTGCTTGGGCTTATGAGGAGGTTTGTGTGGCTTCTGTTGAGCGGTCTTGGGTTAGAAAGATTTGGCATGGCTATGTTCCCCCTAGAAGGTCGATTGTGGTTTGGAAGGCTCTTCATGGTGCTTTTCCGGTGGAGACTATTATGCAAAAGAGAGGTTTTATTTTTGCTTCAGTTTGTCGTTTTTGTTATAAGCATGAGGAATCTATTTCTCACTTATTTTTAGAATGTGATTTTGTTGTTAAGATTTCGGATCATATCTCTGAGATTTTTGGTAGGCGGTTATGTCCCGCTCGAAGTATTGAAGAGATAATTTCTTGTGCTTTTGAAGCTGATTTTGGTTCTCAAGCTTATTGTTTATGGTCTACTGCGATTGTTACTAGCTTTTGGGCTATTTGGTCTTTGAGAAACATGCTTATTTTTTATGGTGTGGTTCCTAGTTTCTGTTTTCTTTGGATGGCGGTTAAGAAAGCAGGGGTTGAGGTTGGTAGGCTAAAGATTGGTGTTATAAGAAACTCTCTTTAAGAGCTTCTTGTTGTCAAAGCTTTTGGTCTTGAGGTTGTGCTTAGGAAAGCTCCCAAGATCTATTCTGTTGTTTGGAGGGCTCCTCCGCCAGCTTGGATTAAAGTTAGCACGGATGGGACTGCTAAGAGGAATGGTTTAGCTGGGGGAGGTATGGTCTTTCGAACTGTAGAGGTTTCTTCTTAGGAGCTTTCAGTGTTTTCTTTGGACAGTGTCTTGCTATAGAAGCTGAGACGTGAACTATTATTATGGCCATTAGGTTGGCTTGGAGTAAAGGTGGAAGCGCATTTGGTTAGAAAGTGATTCTATTTGTGCAGTTCATCTTTTTCGGAGTGTTAGTTCTACAGTTCCGTGGTCTTTTTGGAATGCTTGGATGGACGCTCTTGATAAGGCTAGCTTTATGGATTTTGTTATTTCTCATTCTTTTAGAGAGGCTAATAATATTATTGATTGTTTGGCTAGTTTTGGTGTAGTTTATGATTGTTACACGTGGTGGTATAATGTTCCAAGTTTTGTTCTTACAGAGTTTAGTTTGGATGTTTTGTTTTTCTTTTCCTTTTTTTTTTTAGCCTCTTTGTTTCTGATGTATTTTTCTTTTGCTTTTGATAATTTTTTGTCGTTGAGGTTTTTTCTATTAAAAAAAAAAAGATGCAAGAGGGATGAGTTTTCGGAGCATTAGCCCACAAAATCTACATTCTTTGGCTAATTTTGTATGCTTCAGCCATTACTTCCATGGCTCATCTTATATAAAAATGGGCACCTAATGTGTATGTGTGTATGAATTAGCTTGTTTAACACCTGTTTACTCTCCATGTCTAGATATGTTTGTTCGGGTTTTTTTTTTTTCTTTTTCCTTTCCTCTTGCACCTATTTGTTGAAAGGGCATTCCCCATCGTTGACATCAAACCATCAGCCATGACTTCATTTGAGAACAGTAATTTTTAATTGAGGTGGTTGGATGATAGAGATAAAGATTTGTGGCAACCCTGATATGGACAGAGTTCAAATCTAAATCTATCATATAGCGTGCAAGAAAATATGAAAAATTTGTACCATATATGCTTCTTGTTGAAATTCTAGAGCCCGTTTAGTTCGTTAATTTGAGTTTTTAATTCGAGTTGAGATGTGATTTTATGTGAGAGTTTTTTACTGTAGCAAAAAAGTTATATGTGATTGTTTGTGAGAGTTTTTTACTGTAACAAAACTCGAATTCTAAACTTAGCGAAATGAACGGAGCCAGGTGTACTAACTGATATTTTTTTTAGTTCTCGATCTTTGCCACTATAAGCTGTAGCTAGTTAGCGTTGATGACACTTGCCCGTTAAAGGTTTGTTTAACTCTGCAATGTGCAATTGACTTTTGTCAAAAATGAAAAGATCTTTTTTTGCATCTAAGCAGATATTCTGTTTTGCATATTGACATTGCATAATGGACAGGAGCCTTTTGTAAACATTCCGGAGGAAACAATTCGCGAGGCACTGAAAGTTGTTCTTGGTATCATAATAAACATTTGAATTTGGGTTGTTTATACTAACATCATGGCACAGCTTGTTTGTTTGACAATATGCTAATTGGTATATGCTATAACCAGATGTCAAGAACCGCCCTCTCCTAATTCATTGCAAACGAGGGAAGGTACTTGTGTCATTTCCTGATTCTTTGATTACTGGTAAGAAATGTGGGTTACTAATTCTCTTGCAATTTTATGTCGTTTCGGTTTACAGCACCGAACTGGTTGTCTCGTGGGATGCTTAAGAAGATTGCAGAGATGGTGTCTATCATCCATTTTCGACGAGTATCAAAGATTTGCCGCTGCCAAAGCCAGAGTATCTGATCAGAGATTCATCGAGTTGTTTGACGTTTCCAGTCTGAAGCACTTTCCATTGTCGTGTTCATGTTCAAACAGATAATTCCCTGAGATCATTAGTTTCATTCCCATTGTATTTGGTGGCTGCAATTACAATGACGCTACGCGACTGTTTCTTTGTCCTGTCTTTAAAAGAGTTTGTAAACCCCGTCTCCACATGAATACTTTTACTTCCAAAATCGGTTCAATGTTAAAGAACAAATTCAAAAACAACCCAACAAAAAAAAAAAACAAAAAAAAAAATATATATATATATATATTTGAGTTAAGCGAAGAGAATAGTACCCAAAAGAACAAAACAAAAAAAAATATATATATATATATTTGAGTTAAGCGAAGAGAATAGTACCCAAAAGAAAGTTAAAAAAAAAAAAAAAGAAATATAGACGAGCAACAATCGAATCGTCAATTCGATAAAGTGACGACTGAAACGATATCTCGCCCATTTCGCTATACCTCCAAGCTCTTTTCAACGAAGAGACATATTGACTCTCCGTTATTCTCTTGATAGAACAGAGGCTTTTCCGTTGATTTAAAAATCCAAAACAAAAGCAAAAATCTCAGAAACATTAACACTATTTGGACAAAGGAAAAAGCTGAAAATAACACAAACTGATTTAGAAGCTGAAGAGTGAAGATCGAATGCAATCAAACAACCAGAAGCCAATATAAGGAGCAGCAGAAAAGAAAAGAAAGTGTTTTATGCAAACTTACTGCGACTTGGGAGAATTTATAGACCGGCGAATTTCTTCCGTTGCTTGGTTTGAGCAACCCTAGCCAAATGGCGACCTCTTTGAATTACCAGAATACCCTTATGCATGCTAGCGTTGTTAAAACTGGAAAAGACTGTGATGGGCTCTCTGAAGTTAGCCCTGTGCCACTTGATTGGGTCCCTATGAAACAAGCCCAATACCAGGCCTGTTTAGGCCTGGCCTGACTTGCCTCTCTTGCTCTACATCTTGCATTTTATTGTGTTAAAAAAATAGTTATATAAATTATAATAATGATCATTCATTTTCGTCTCAATTGCGTCAGCATTTTCTATTACAACTCAATTTGTCATTCCTTCAACGTTTGGGTTTGAATCTTAAATGTCATTTTATGGTGAAATCTACAACGAAGAGAAGACTAATCAATATATTTCTGCTTACGTTCTCCATTCGCAATCTCATTTTTTTTCATTCGCAATCTCAACTTTTGCCATTATTACTTTTTGGGGTTTGGGGTTTAGAGTATTTCTTTCTTTTCTATATCCTTATTTGATTACACGTTCAAGTCATATGCATTTTAATGTCGTTTTAGACGTGAATGTGTCGTTTCCTTTTTTTTTCCCCTTTTAATAACAACTTATTGTTGCTATTCAATGTGGTTTCATCATCGACCAAAAATTAAGATTTATTTGGAAAAGTTACCAACGAGTATATGAGGGATGGTAAATCCACTCATCCCTCACTCAAGAAGTTATGGGCTTGTTCTTTTGAGTGAAAAATTCAAAAAAAGGCAACTCGAGTTACAACTTTATTCGAATTTATGTTCTTTTAAGTTTAAACTCGAGTTCAAACTCAAGTTTAAGACTAAAACTCGAGTTCAAGTTTCTCCTTCAACTCGAGTTCAGAAACTCGAACTCAAATTAATGGACAGTATTTTTTCTATTCTTAAAAATGCTATGACTTTTTCGTTTTGATTCTGATTGAGATTTTTTTTTCTATGCGTTGATAACGAAAAGACGAATAAAACTTGACCCATATACCATATTAAAATTTTTCATCAGCATTGAGTTTTTATTAAAATACTATCTAAATACAAATTCAAGTTTGACTCACTCAAACACAAATTCAAAAAGATTATTATATCAAACCATAACTCAAATGTACACAACCAAATACAAACTTAAGTTACAAGTTCAACTTAAGTTATAACTCAAATTCAACTCAAAAATTATACTCAAGTTAAACTCTAAAAGAACAGGCCCTATTATGAGTTTAAGTTGGAATTGCCGCGGCTGTTAAGATATATGAGCAATCCACTTTGAGAGGGATTCATATCTCACAGAAAAATGCCGTGCCTACTAGAGACATCTAGATATGTCATCTCAATCTTTATCATTCCCCCCCCCCCTTCAAGAAGCTAGTTGAAGTTGTTCCAACCTTTCCGAAATAGGGACATAAATTGTTCTAGTATTTCTTTCTTCCTTTATTTTGTATATTTGTAAGAAAGCATTCATTCTAATAGTTCCATCACATTATATCCATCTCTCTCTTTTTTAATCAAATATACACTTTGATGAGTTTGATCTTGTCGTTTCATAAGTGATCTCACTTCACCCTTTTATCTAAGTGCTTAATTTTCTTGATTTTGGACCTGTTTACTTTGCAGATTCGAGTTGAGATGTAATTTTATGTGATTATTTTTTACTGTAATAAAAAAATTAGATGTGACTGTTTCTAAGAACTTTTCACTGTAATAAAACTCGAATCGGTGAAATGAACGAGGCCTTTGACTAGCGTTTCTTCTTGTGGCTTTCAGTGCCCCAAGTGGTAAAACCTTTTATTTTTCTTTTTCATTTCCCTTTGGTGTCCAGATTTTTTAAGGTCTCGCTTGATACAATTTTGTACCATGCAATCTATTTATTTTTTTGGTAGAACAATGCAATTCAAAACTTTGTGCTAACTTCTAAGTGATGCCCCAATTATTAAATAGTTAATACTATCCATTCCGAGGTCTGCCATTGAATGAAATGTCTGAAAGAGATATATTTTGAATATCTTGTTGTGCTCCTTTAGTCACCTAGCAAAGATGGAAAAAGAAACCTAGGCCACGTTTGTTTCCGTTTTTGTTTCTGTTTTTCACATTTTTCGAGGATAAAAAATGAAAACACTTATACTAAATGCGTTTGGTGCAATTTTTTAAAAGTTGAAAACAAAAACATTTTTGTCTTTTTCTGAAAATTTGAAAACGGATTAAATCCGTTTTTCAGTTTTCCTTTTCATTTTCTCCCTTCTCCCTTCTCTCTCTTCATTTTCTCCCGAGGTTCCTCTCTCTTCATTTTCTCCCGCCGTCGAACCTCGCCGGGAAACACCGTCACAAGCCACACCCAAAACCGGCGAATCGCGACCCCCTTCTTCTCTGCGCTGCCGCCCCCCCCCAACCCCCCTGAGGAGAAGGCGAGCCCCTCGGCGACGAACGCCAGTGGCTACGCTACCGCTCTCGGGGGCGCTTCTCCTCCACCGTCGCCACTAAAGTATCCATTTTAACGAAGGAAAATGGATACTTTACGATGCCATCATCGACAAGGTTGTTGTTGAAATCGTAGCTCCTCTTGGATCTAGAATACTTTCGGGAGCGAGAAGCCGAGGAGGAGGAAGCGGCTTTACCGGAAGAGCTGCGGCTGAGCCTCCCGCACTGGATGAGAATGGTGTCCACCTCCTCCTTGGTGCAGCTGGAAGTCCTCACAACAGCAGCAGGTGTAGGAGCAGATTCAGAGTCTTCAAGTGGTTGTCGTTTTTGGATATGGTTTTTTCTTGAATCTGGTTTTTTTTGTTGGTAGTCGTTTTTGGATCTGTTTGAAGTGTTGGGATCTACTGGTACTGGTACTACTACCACACTTGCTTGTGCCGAGTGATTCAACACGGCATTTTTATTATTAACGAAGAAGAAGAAGAAGGAGGAGGAGATAGTTTCTTTTTGCTTAGACAAGTACCCATTGACTTAACTAAACAACTCGAAGAGAAAGAAATAACTTGAGAGACCGGAAAGCAAGAAAAAAACGTCTAAAGAGGCGAGAACTTAAATTAAATCACCAAACACAATTTCAGTTTTTTTTTAAAACTGAAAACAATATCGAAATAAAACTACCAAACGCATTTTCAAAAATGATTCCAAAATGAAAATAAAAACGTTTTCATTTTCATTTTCATACAAAAAATAAAAACGTTTTGAAACCAATTCCAAACACACCCCTAATATCTGAAAACATTTGAAAAATATCCATTATAATAATAACAATAATAATTAAACTGAATAGTAAAATAGTTTATTTGCATTTCCGAGCCGTCCAATACCTTCACGGTACACAGAAATATAGGTCCCTCGGATTTATGGGAAAATATGTGACACCGAGAATATTAGTATATTAGAAAATTTAAGCCCACTTGTTTGGTCTGCCAATATTACAGAAAGATATTGTCTTTTCAGGGTAGCAGATAGTTCCTTTGAGGAATTAGCTTGGCAAATAATATGTTTGTTTAATTATTAACTTAATTTGGATACTTAAAGTACAATCAGGAAAGTTCCTCCTTAGATTTTTGTTAAAGCAAAAGATTAAGGTAGGCTAATGGCTAATGGGGGAGGAGTTAATCAATTATTATAGTAATGGAAATCCAATAAAAAATGATAGTGACGCAAATCATAAAGCATATTCTTTTCACTAGAGACTTTAAAAGTTTGCATTGATTCTTGTACATTTATTCCCATAACACGTTTTTTTAATTTTTGTAAATCCAACAGATAGTCAGCAATTAGAATATAATCTCCACCTAACCTCTAAATAATTAAATTAAATTAACCCACTCATGTGTTGGAGAACGATGCAGCCAATTAGCATTAGCATAATTACACTTTATGGACATATATAGAGTTGACCGAGCATGAAAAAAAAAAAAAAAAAAAAAAAAAAAAAAAAGAACTCAAAACACCTATTCTTTTCAAAAGGGTCATCTTTGGTTACTGCCTAAACAGTAAAACACATCACACATCATCAACATTCAACGGTACCCATTAAGACACGAAGTTAATACACACCATAGGAACTGTTTATTCGTCAAAAAAAAGCTTACATATATATATATATATATATAGCTTATGTAAAGCTATAATTTCCAAAACATGCCTAATAGTTCCCAACATACAGAAACACAACACACAAAAAGTACTCATGTTTTGGGACACAAGACATTATAAACAGAGACACATAATAATAGGTACTAAAGCCATTAATTTGTTTTGTTGTCACTAGGAGGACGTGTTATGATAATCATCAAACGGTTGCGATGGGATCCGCGTTAACCGGAGATTCCACGGCCTTCATGGCTTCAAATCTGGGCTCTTTATCTTGGAATTTTAAGCCGGCGTAGAGCTTCATGTAGTCATCAAACACGAACTTCGGGTACAATACTTGGCTTTCTTGCTTGGCTGCTTTCTCCACCAATGCCGGAGCAGGGTAGATGACGGCGTCGCTTCCCGGGTTATAAAATGATGCTAAGGACATCCTGTTACCGTCCGTTTGCGCCACCACTCGGTGCATCACGCTCTTATATTTTCCATTGGTAATTACCTGCACAAATTATTAAAGTTAGGAAAAACACACTAAAAAAATCAGACAAGGGTATAAATTCAAAAAACATATTAAATATTATTTTACACGAATTCACAAGTTAACTTTGAAACTAAGATTTTGAAACTGCGTCTAGTGATAGATGTTAAATATCATTTTTTTTTTTGGCATTCGAATAATAGAGTCAAATTTCAAAATACGAGTTAATATTAACCTCGTTTATTTCACCAATTCGAGTTTTGTTGTAGTAAAAAGCTTTCAGAAACAATCACATCTAACTTTTTTATTACAGTAAAAAATTCTCGTATAAAATCACATCTTAACTCGAATTAAAACCTAAAATAGCGAACTAAACGGGCCTATTATTACCTCAAGTTGGTCACCCAAGTTGATGACAATGGAGTGGCGCATTGGGGGGACATTAATCCACTGGCCATCCTTGAGGAGCTGAAGGCCGCTGACCTTGTCATCTTGGAAGAGCAAGATGATGCCGCCAGCATCGGTGTGGGCCCGGAGGCCCTTGATCAGGTCTGGTTTGGGGCAAGGAGGGTAGTTGCTGACTTTGGTTCCAAAATTTGGACCCTTGGACCCAAAGAACACTTTCTTTATGTACGCTTTCTCTAGTCCAAGATTCTCACACAACAAGTCCAAGAGATGCTCAGCCAGTTTCTCCACCTCGGCAGCAAATTCCTTCATCGCCTTCCTGAAAAGTCATGCGTGAAATTACCGTTAGACTAAGGATCAAGCATGCAACCACCATGCGATAACATTTTTTAATGCGGTAGATTGAAAAACCTGTAGTCGTCATCGAGATCGGGGATTTCGGACATGTTTGAGACGGGACGGTGGCGCAAGAAGAAGGTGCTTTCCCAGTCCAAATCATTGATTTCAGACTGCACAACGTCAAGTCCCTTGCTTGCCACCATTTCCTTGAACCTTTGTTCCATGCACTTTCTGTAGTGCTCCTTTGTCAGCCTCTCCACGGCGTCCATGAGCTCATGAGATATCCCATGGTTCATCAGCTGAAACAAATATTGCACATAGCAAAACAAAACAAGTTTAGCAACAACAAAAGAAAAAAAAAAGGAAGTCTTTCAAAAACTTAGTTTGGTAATAACCTCAAAGAAGCCCCAGTTCTCACAAGCATCGTTTATCAACTCCATGGTTTCCTTTCTCTCTTCACCATTGAGTTTTGCCATGTCAATAACTGGAAAAGTGATCTGATCCATCTCTCTCGCTTTCTTTCTGATCTGAAGTGACTTTCTTTCTCTTTCTGATCTCTGTTTCTTTTCTCTCAAAGAGTTTATAATATAGCGTTGGTTTGTATGTGGTGAGAGATGGTTTAGAGTCTGCGCCTATTTATAGGCGCCAGCCACTAGGGAAGTGGGCAAAAATGGAATTTAAATTCAAGAGAAAATGGAAAAAAAAAAATGTGAGAGTGAGAGTGAAAAAAAAAGTGGAAAATGAAAGGAAAAGTTTAAGCAAAGTGAAGGTAGAAAAAACAGGAGTTAATGGAGGATGTATGTGAGCACATCCTGATATGGTCCCAGGACTCTTTTGTCTTTGAGGCTGTGGCCATAATTCCATGCGTTGTAAGTCATGCTATTTCCTAGGAAAAGGACCTACTTCTTTGGCTGTTTATTGTTTCATTAATTTCAGTTCATTTTGGTTTTTATTTTTCCTTTTTTGGTTTGTTGTTTTCCCATGACATGTAAATCTTCCTCTTTTGAGATTCGGGGAAAATTTTTTTTTTAAAAAAAGGAAAAAAAAAAACAGCATTATTTAGCACTATGCCACTAGAGGTACACTTTTAATTGATCACGAAGTAACTTTTGGAGCACATATTCTTTTGAAAGCGAAACAATTATTTTATTAAGTTGAAAGACTATAAACTTTAGTTGTTCATTTGTCACGCGCTTAGGAAATTATCATGTGTGCTAATCTGTTAGTTCATGAAATTGTTCTTTTTACTCTTATTCCCTGGACTAAAAGGGTGTGGCTTTCATTGCATATCTCATTTTAATATTTCTTTAGAGAATTCTGTATTAGAATATGAAAAAACAATAAAACTTTCGTGCTCTTTAAAACTCAAGGATTAATATGGAATACATATATAGTCTCCACTTATATGTGCAGGGGCATTTTTATGTGATGCGAGCACCGAATTTTTTGGAGCTAAATAACATTGTTTACGAAAAATATCTTATTAATAAGACATAATTTTAAAGTGTCAAATCAAATCAAAATTCTATTAAAATAAAAAATATGATGACTTAACATATTTGATGATTATATGGTTACCAATAGGCCCTACCACAAAATTCTTCTCTTTCTTTTGACAGTTTTTCTTTTCTTTCCCCTCCTTTTCTCAAAATATTACAATTATGAGCTTAATCAAAATGCCCTATATATCCATATATTACAAGGCCAAGAAAAGTGCTGACAAAAATGGAGAAGGAAAATATCACGGGAAGTTGCCTCTTGATTTCCTATATATAATGACTCGTCCTAGAGACAATTATGTTGAGATGTCTCATGTGCACGGAAGAAGAAGCAAGAAAAGCAAGAAAAAAGGTGGAGCAAATCGGTGGAGTGCCGCGGCTCCGGTCAGTGGTGCCGCGACACTAGGAGGTTGCTACAACCGGCAGCAAACCAGTGCCATGGTGCCAGTGTGCAGCGCCATGGCGCTTCAGGATTCGGTTGTGTAGTGCCGCGGCACCAAGGTTGGGCACCACTGCACTAGCGCACGTCACTAATTTCTTCAATTAATTAGTGGAATCTACGGCGGTAAAAATATGACGTAGCTAAATTAGTGAACCTGTATAAAATTCTTAGTGTAAATTTTACTTTTATTTTTCTTTCGTTATTTTTTGTTCTCTATTATTTACTTAGGTTTTAGGCAAATTTTCTCAACAAATTACTCATTAACATGCTTTGTGTAGCTTTACCTTTTTTCTGTAAGAACTTAGAAAGAGCTTTTCTTTTTTCATTTTTTCATTATAAGGGGGACATATCTAATAAACAAACCTTACAACATGTAACTATTGTTATAAGATTTTCAATGTAGATTATGTATCATTATATCTGCCGACCTATAGCTTTTAAGCTTGTCCAACGCTCTGTAATTGTAATACCCATATTATTAGATAATATATAGATACAGAAGAATTCACATGTAATGAACACTTGTCAAGATTAAGAAAGAAGAAAAGTTTAAATTTTCTTCTAAGTAGACACGTATCAACATTAGGAAAGAATAAAAGTTCAAATTGTCTTTTGTTAGATACTTGTCAAGTAGATGGACACTTGAAATTTCATCAATGGCCAAGATTTAGACAAAACACTTATAATCCAAAGGTAGATATTAGATATGGAATCAATGGCTAAGATCTACCCACTTGTGTTTTGATCCAAGGGCTAGAATGTAAGATGACATACTATAAATAGGTGGAGGATTTAGAGTTTATTCCATCCTTCATATGGGAAAGAGTTAGAAAGAGAAAGTTAGAGAGAAAGAGATGTAGGAAGAAGAAAGAAGGAAGATTCTCTAAATTTTGAGGACAAACTATCACAGATAGTAAGTTGTAAGATACTATATAAGTATACCTTTTACTGCATCACTTGAACAGTAGTATGTTTTTAATGAATGTTTTCAATTTATATATATTATTGTTAGAACACTTTCATGAGATCGAGATTTAAAAAGTGTTTTTAGAGTATGATATGAATCTTGTGTTTATTATGAACTGATTAAAGTACGATAAAGTAAAGAGTCAAATCCTTGAGAAACAGGAGATTCCAAGATAGGGGTCATAGGAAAAGAGTTATAATAACACAAGATGAATATCATACAAAAGGGACCTAAATGTTAAAGAAAAGTATTTTCAAAGTGGAAATCACTATATGATTTACTTACTGAGCTTATGCTCATATATTCTCGTGATGCAGGTAAGTGTTAAAGTAGAAGTTTCAGTTGACTGAGCAAGAAAGGTTCAAAGTCCCATGACGAATTAAGAGATCTTTGTAATCTTAAGAATTTGTTGGAAGATTGTAATTGTGTTAGATGTACTATTAAGAATACTGTAAATCCAAGAATTCTGCTCGAGGATTGTACTTGATATTGAGATTATTTTTCTATTAAAAAGTAATATAGTAACGTAAGTTAACGTTTCTCTCGAGCCGAGGTTTAGAACATCACATAAAACTCCACACAAAAAACACTGTATGCCTTTGAAAATATTCTAAATTTTCTGTTATTGAGGAATGATGAACAAGTGATGCTTTATTATAAAGTGATAACTAACAATTACTGTGTTTGTACTATTATACGATTAAGTCATTAGTGATAATTGGTGTCGGCAGTACATTTTATTTTCCTGAAGCCTTTCTATAAATATTATATCTTGAGAATCATTGACAGTAGTCGAGATTCAGATTTCTTTTTATCTAATTACATGTCCCTTTTAATTATTCCACTTTTCTCTTATCTAATTACAAGTCCCTTTTAATTATTCCACTTTTCTCTTATCTAATTACAAGCCCCTTATATATACTTGTATAAAAGTGAAATGATAATAATCGTCAAGAGTGATTAAAAAAATGCTACTTTGAATCATGCATCCATGTTAATTTATTTCTTTACTGTTAATTCTTTTATTTATTTTTTCTGCAGCATTTCTTTCTTAATTACAGAATTATTAATGTTCGATCAACCTTTTTTTATTACACGAATAGAATAACGACATAAAAAAGATGTATAAAGGTGACATGATAACAAGTGAATAGTGATTAAGAAAATGATAATAAAACCAGGCCTTACTTTGAATTAATATTCATGTATGCAATTTATCTCTTCTCGGTCCTTTTTTTGCTGCTGTAATTTCTTTCTTTATATTGGCAATACCATCACATTACGTACGTACTATCAGACAATTAGGAAAACAAAACCTAACAATTTTTTTTTCTAATATTTGTGGTTACAGGTGGACGCAATTATAGATAGTCAAATAATGTCAATTTTTACTATATCGAACTAAAACGTTAAATAATAATTCAATGAAAATTAATAAAAATTTGGCAACCATAAACTATGTCTCGCCAGTGTGATGTTTTATCATATACTTGAGTCATTTTAAAAAAAATATAGTGCGTTATATAGAATTATTCTCTCTACTGATCTGTTAAAAACGTAATGTGTTGCATACCGGTAAATTTTTGTAGAGATCTCACTGTAGAGAAAGCATCGTAAAAAACAACAAATAACGTGGGACTTGATATAATTGAAGGAATTAGAGTGTCTTAGGGTCTGTTTAGTTCGTGGTTCGAGTTTGAGTTGAGATGTGATTTTATATGAGAATTTTTTACTGTAAGAAAAAAGTTAGATGTGATTGTTTTTAAAAACTTTTTATTATAACAAAATTTGATTTTTAAACTGAAATCAGTGAAATGAACGGAGTCTAATTTACATACATTGACGAGATTGATTAGGCAGGGTTTACGCAGATTATGGAGATTGTCAGATTGGAAATAAGTTATCCCAAATCTTGCACTTTTAAAGAGGACATGACCTCTGAAGTTGAGTGAAAGATTTTCATGTCAAGAATCACATCTTTCTTGCACAAGAATAAATCTCAAAAGCAGATCAGCTAAAAGAGAAAAAAAAAATTTAAGAAAATAATCAAAGAATATGCAGTACAAAATCCCGCGTCATGATGACAAAGTAAAATTTGCTAGCTTTATTTTAACACCATTTTGTTAAGTATGCATTAAGTAATACTTTTTCTTTTCAAATTTTTGCTCAAGTATACTATCAGGGATGCTTTTCACATCAAACATATGTTAGGAACAGTAGTGTGTTTGGTAAAGGAATTCGTATCCTGATTCGAATTATGATTTATAATTTATTACAGTATTTTCTCTCATAAAAAATACACGTAAATAAAAAATAGTTCTAATATTATGATTCTAATCAATGAACCAAACGTCTCAAGAGTCTGTTTGGTAAGGGAATTCGAATCATAATTTAAATCATGATTCATAATTTATAATAATATTTTTTCTTACAAAAAGTACACGTAAATTGATAATGATTCTAAATTATGGTTAAATCATGAATCAAACGTCTACTAATATTAGTGAAGTAAGGGAATTCGAATCATAATTTAAATCATGATTCATAATTTACAATAATATTTTTTCTTACAAAAAGCACACGTAAATTGATAATAATTCTAAATTATGGTTAAATCATGAATCAAACGTCTACTAATATTAGTGAGTTTTATATATATACAAAAATTCTATTTTATCAACTAGTCAGATATTCTCATATACAATAAATG